GTAGATATTGTTGAGTGATTTCCCCACATGTTGATAGTTCCCCATAAATCAGGTTTCCTATTGTAGAACTGTTACAATTGCATTTTCTATTCTTCATTGCTCTTGAATCTAGTTACATGATCTGCTGTATAGCTATGCCTCCCCGGTTGGATTGACTTGGCCTTGCTCTGAGATGTCCCTCCGTATATCTTCTTTTCAAAGTCTTCAACACATTCTCCATCCTTCTTAATTAGTACCACTGCTTTGTATTTAGTTACAAAATTATAATTCAGAAAGTAGCTCTGTGCATTTTATATTCAGGAGCGTGGAAGAGCTTTGGAATTTGTGACTTATGGGAGCTGGAGCCATGTGTGTGCTTAAATACTACCCTGGGTGATGAAGAGGGGTAGGAAATGAGGGGTTGGGGGAGGAACCCAGGAGAACACCAATGTTTTTTAAAGAGCTTGGAATAGAAAGAAAAGGAATATCTAGGAGAAAACACTCATGTGTGTCAGCTGGAGCACAGAGGCGGAGCATTGTAAGGTCTTCATTAGACTTAGCAACTGGAAGCTCTTTGGTGATTTTTATGAATAAAATGTGACGAGAAAAATCCACTGTACATCGGATGTAAACCAACATGCAGCATCGGGTAAAGGTGGCTGGTTTTAAATATCTTGCCACAGGGGTCCTGGGCTGAAGGATGTCCGTATCAGGTTGGTCTGTGGGAGGGTCTATGGGGAATTGAGTTGATTGTTAATTGATGGGGGAGGTCCAGCCCTCTGTGGGCAGCATTAATCTTTGGGCAGGTGCTCCTGAGCTGCATAAGAAAGTTAGCTAATCGTGAACCTGAGCCATTCAGGAAGCAGTGTTCCTTCAGGGTTTCTGCTTGAGATCCTGCCCTGATGTCCCCCAGTGTTAACCAGTGGCCTGGAAGTAGAAACCAAACAGACCCATTCCTCTCACGTTATTTTTGTGAGTTTTATTGTTTTTTCTGTCCTCTCTTGGATTTTAGTGAGATTCTGAGAACGAAGTTATAGGAGTTCTTACCATCTGTTCCAGTGAACTCTGACCATATTGTTCAGTGCCTCTCACCTGAGAAGGGCACAGAGAGTCACTTCCCTTGTCTTTACTTTAGCTGGACCATGTGGCTTCAGTCTGCAGCTCCTGGCTAGCTGACCCCAGGCAGGTATAAAATGCTTACTCATGAATGCTGCTGATCTTCCATGATGGCTTCAGTAGTTGACTGGTACTGTTGGTTGGTACTGTTCTGCTCCTGAGCAGTTAGTGAACCAGTTTTTGACTCCAGCTTGGCTTAATGCTCCAAGTGACACCATCTGCAGGAGGTACTATAAGAGATGGGCTACGCCAGCTGCGCCCAAGCTCTGAAAGACCCCTTCTCTTTATTTCTTCTCTAGGAGATTCTCAGCAAATTGCTGGAGGGATGTCTGTGCTGAATTTCACTGTTTGAGCAATTTCCACGGAATGAATTAACGGAGGAGGGAGGAGCCATTTGCTTCCTGGAGTGTGAAAGGCAGTATTGTGGATTTGACTTCCCTATGTGGCTAGCTAAAGGATTCAGAGGCTCTGGGGCAGGCAGAGATCTTAATGAGATCGTGTGTGTGTGTGTGTGTGTGTGTGTGTGTGTGTGTGTGTGTGTGTGTGTGTGTGTGTGT